AAAAGAAATTTGGAACAAATACTTGTACTTGCTCCGTCTGTGCGATTTTTTCTACTCCGTTCAAAATCGAAAAATGTTTGTGTACGAAAAGATTTTAGCAAAAATATTGTCCTTCTAGAACAAAATACTTGCATATTTGATTTGCTCTTCGTTATAAGTTTTCAAAATCGTACAAATGCAATTACATGTGCTTTTAACCAATTTTGAAAAACTACATTTTCCAGACTAAAGCTCGACTGGGATGAAAATTATTTCTTTGTCATAAAAAACTACGAACAAAATGTATTGCCTTTAAAGGACCCTTGAAGGCCACTGTTGTCTTAAACAAGTTTTTTGATAATTTTCAAAGTAATTTTTCTCATTCACAACAACTCATACAAATATTCAAGTTTAAGCGATTTGCATAGACATTGATTTCGGTTGGATGCAACACCTTTACCACCATCCGAACTATATTACCCTATAAAATTTGCAAAATCATGTTTTACACTTTGCGCTTTATTAATGTTTTCTAAAAGTAAAAATATAACTGTTATATTCTTGTTATTACATAAATATCTGTAATACCGTTATGTCTTATCTAAATTAATTAGCAATTAAACCTTCCTATAACTAGTATAAACTCATTGAAAATAATGAAAAATTATATGACCCCTAAATTTATGCAAAATTATATGATGATATGAAAATAATTCTAATTTGATCATTATTTTCATTATATTTTTTTCTACTTCATAATAGAGTGCTAGACAACCATTTACACTGGATTTACATGGGTTAAGATCCACTACACCTTTTTCATATTTCCTTTGCTTTTTTTTACACAAATTAGTGATTCTAATGTGAGAATCTCTTATTTTAGTTCCATAACTGAAATTTTTTATGTTTTTGACATGAACATTTTTGACACTATAAAGACTCTTATATATTAAAAATTACTGGCATTATGTTATCCTTATGCTTATAATATTTTATCCCAGGTAAAAACAAAGACAAAAAAAAAAGGAAAACCTCTCAAATGTTGTGTTGTTCATTTGTTTCATTCCTTTCCCTTTTTTTTTGGTATATAAAGTGTCTTATTATTATTTGACCTTAAAAACAACAACAACACAAGCAAATAAATATGTTTTTGGTTTTTGGTTTTTTTCTTTCATAAAACCCCTATCTTTTCCATATATACGGAGAACAAGTGTGATATTATTATGAATCATCTTAAATGTGTTAGTTTTATTACTATTACATGAACCGATTCATAGAATTGTTTATACAATAGTTATGATTTGCCCTTTTTTTTTTCTTCTTCTCGTTTTCTCTTATTTTTCATTCTTATAAATTTATATTGTTATATTTATGTATATAGATAGGTATATGGCATATAAGTAAGAACATCTTAACATGAATTATTTTTGTACAATTTTTCTCTGTCAAGGACATTCATGTATGTTATATATGGAAATGATATTTTATATTTTTCGAGAACGTCAAAATTATGAAAGATCGGGCTGAATAAAAAGCAATTTAATAACATATAAATGTCTTATATATGGTATACTTTAAAAAGTATTCAAGAGGGTGTGAAAAACATAAAAAATAAATGTATGTGTATATAAAATAGTAATATAACCGTTATATTGTCACAATAATATATTAATTTCGAATTGTTTATTACATACAACATATACTCATAAAATAATAGCAATAATAATTGTATAATCTTGTATATCTACTTTATTTAAATAAATTACTAATAAGTTGTATGCGTGTGAATGTTTTTCATTGAACTCATAACAAAATGGCAGCATAATACTTTTATAATATAATTTGAGTAATTAATTAACCTTTAAATAAGATTTACCTACCTATTCTCACAATATACTCAATATATACATATGTAGGTATAAATGGAGAGCATTTAATGAGAAATGCAATTATCTAAATTAATGTCTTTTTTGTTCAATGAGTTCAACTGACATTTTCCATAAAATATAAATTAGAAAATAAGAGCATCTTACATATAAAGAGCGGAATTTTTTTTTTTTGAGAAATTTTAATGAAATCACTGCTATGAATGTAGAGTGAGTTGAATGATACAGAAAATTAATTATTTTGATTAATTGTTGGGCAGGGTTTATACTATCAAACATTGTTCATGAATTTTGTTTGATTTGATTGCATATTTGATAAAAGTTTGATGCGTATGAGCTCGTTTTATGAAACAAAGTGTATAAACAATGTTTGAGGGTTAATTCTTCCTTTTAATGAAGTCACAATTTCCTAAAATTTTATTCCGTTATCTTTGTGTATGGTATAAACTACTGAAGACACATTATATTTGATCGGAAATTTAAAATTTCAGATTTTCTGCAGTTTTTTTTTTTGTCGACACCATAACAATGGAACCTAAAATAAATGGCACTTCTTTCTTTTATTTATTCAATTGAAATATTTTTTTTTTTAACTATAATTTTATATTTTTAATATTACCGTTCTCAATTAAAAAATTAAATATTAACCATGTTTTTTTATTGTTATTAAAAGATCTTAAGTAAATTTAGAAATTTTAACAGTTTACGCAAATATTTGTACACGCGCTTTTAAAAAATTCATATTTTTAGAATTTTTGAAAAGGAAAAATTATTAATTTCTTCTTGATTTCACCTGTTTATACAAAATAATTTTTAAAGATCAAAAAATCAAAATTCATTGACTGTGTGGCAATAACTTGAAAGCTTAACAAAACGTAACACTTATATGTATGTGAAAGTGGCAGATGTTTTTTGAATTATTTTAATAAAGTGTTAAATTGAATAAAATTTCGAATGTCGTCATGTTAATATAAAAAATTTAACTGCTTTATGAAAATTATATTAGGAAAGGGTATGTTTTTTTTAATAAATATTTGTTCTTTATTATTTTTTGAATAAAAATTGACAAAGAATTTACATTTTTTTTGGTAATTTATAGATATTTTATTAAATTTGCAAAATTTTTCGTATTACAGTAAAGTTAGGTCATGTATCTTCTTAAAAATATTCAAAAATTTTTGCAAGTATTTGAGACAAAGCATAAATTGTTTATCTGCTAATTATGTAAGGTTACAATCTGTTGCCTTTCAGTTAAAAACAAAAACTGACAGTGAATTGGAAAAATATTTTGAAAAATTATGACAAGCTTAAGATTTAAATAAGTATGGATAATTTTCTAATTTTATATTATATTTTAAAGACATAAGAAAGTGGTAAGACTTCAAATGTAATTGAACAAAATTAGTATATAAAATGTTAAATAGATGATTTTGACTTTTTGTGTACAGAAAATTTTTCCCATAAAAATACTGTAAACGGTACCGAAATATTGGACCTCTTTTTAAAGTTCCCAAAATATTTTATTAGGAAAGGGTTTTTGGTAAACTAAATATGTATATGGGAATAAATTAGAAACTCTAAAGTCCTGACCTTAAACTGAAAGCATTTATATTTAGGCTTTACTGTACTCAATCAGAAGTTATCTGTTTTTCAAATTTCGAATACTGAAATTAATAAATTTATGACGTATATTTGCATTTCTAAATTAGATTCGAGTGAAATATTAAAAATTTATTTTTTGACTCTCCCAGTGGGTTAAAATCTCACTGAATTATATAACTGGATCTATTTAACTCGAATATCATGCAATTTTTAAAATAAAATATTGTTAAATTGCAGACGTGATATTCTCGATTCACAAAATATGTCGTATAGATTAATCCAACGAATTATCGTATTAAAAAAATGGAATATGCACCGCTGTAATTCAGAACTACAATTCTATATACTAAGTTCAATTTTTCCTAAAATCTAATTCGAATCAATTTAATATAATAAAAATAAATTTAATTATAATATAATTTAAAGAAATAATCTTATAACATAAGATCTTATAACATAAAACAAAAACAAGACTAAAAACAATTTAAAGATTTGAGCATCAAACAAAAACAAATTCTTGTTAACTAATTATTTTTTAAAGTTCTTCTTAAATATCTTTTTTTTATATATAATTTAAGGATGGAATCGGTTAGTCACCTCTTAATTAGTAACTATAAATACCCTATCCATTATACACACATATGCTCAACAAAAATTTAATATTGTTATACACATGTATAAAACCTAATATACTTATTCCTCTCCATTGTTATACAAAATGTACAAAAAAAAAATAATTAGAAGAAAACAAGAAAACAATTATACGATTTCAATTTTTTAATGTTATCAAACTAATTTAAGTAAAACAAAAACAAAAAAAGAACAAAAGGAAAATCTACAAGTTTGGATGAATGTAGACATTAACATTTATTATATGTGAATGAAATTATGAGGATGCGAGCCGTATACTCGTACAATAAAAGAAAAAAAAGAAAAAAAAAAGGTCAAAAAAAAGGAGAATTTTCAAGGATACCTGGTTTCTCTTTTGTTTTTTCTTCTTCATTCTTTCTTTATTTTATTGTTCCTTTTCAATTCATTATTCTCGAAAACAAAAAATTATATAATAATGAAAACATAATAGAAAATCATCGGAGCCAAAAAAGGCATTTTTACAAATGAAAAAAAAAAAAAAACGAAAACATAAAAAGGAAAAGCAAAAGTAAGAAAAAAAAATACCTTTTTAGACGGTCGTATAAATACAATGAATTCAAGCTGAAACATTATTTTTCGTTTTAGCTAATTAAAGTATAAAGATAATTGAAAAATGAATAATTTCGTTTATTTTTTTCTGTTTTTTTTTTGGGATACAACAAATTATGCACACACATACATTATGTATGTATATATACATGTCTATATAGAAAATTAAATATAGACACTCTCATATTAACCGTAATTAGAGAATTAAATTTCTGACTAATGACCGAATATTGTGTATAATAATGACTATAAACAAATTATTATTATTACTACTTCTATTACTGGCATATTGTACGTAATATGTATATAATATATGTGTATATAGGTACTTACCCTGCTACCATATCCATAATATCGCCAAGTGTTGGATTTATTGTTTTATCATAATCCTCTTTTGTAACAATAACATGTGAATATTTTTGATTATTTTTATCAGCTATTATTCTATTCAAATCCTCAAAACTATCATGTGGGAAATTATCAGTCTCTATACTTTGACTATTTTGACTTGGTCTTGCACCAGGTCCATTATTATTCGTTGTTATAGTTGTTGATGCTTCTTTCGATCCAGATGAATTACTTGAAAAAAAAAAAATTGATATGTAAGTATAATTAATTAATTAAATTAATTTTTAAATTATTACAAAAATTTCCAATCTTATTGTATGAAATGAATTTTTATTCAATATTTAAAGTGTTATACAAAAATAAAGTTGGGTCAAACCAATGGTTTGTATTGTAGCACTTTTCCCTTCAACAAGTGAAAATTCTGCTTTTAAATACAGTCTATGTATACCTATCACACTATTAAAATTATTTTCATTCATATACAAAACTATTTCTAGGATTGCATATATTTAGGATGACGAATATATGCAGTCTTTGAAATAAAGCAAAAATTAATATAAAAAGGGGTTAACATAATGCTCGATTTTAAGGGTTAATTGTGTGAGTTAAGAAAAAAAATTATATTTTTTAATTTCATGGAATTTACCGTTAGCTTTTCGCGTTTATAAAAATTTGGAAAAGCTTGCGGTTTCGGAAATATAAGGTCTCAAAAATTCAAATTTTACGAATTTCAAGAGGTGATAACTTGAGAGGGGGTGGAGATGGAAAAAAATTTTCTTCTAACAAAATGAACTATTTGTTAAAGTCTAAAAGCTCCTGAAATTTCAAGCTTCTACAGTCTGGGGTCTAGAAGAAAAACGACATGAAAAATTTGGAAAAAAAGGACTTTAGATAACGGTAAATTTGAACGGCCATTTTGTTTTTTTAAAGTTTAACTATAGTATACCGCGCTAGGGAAAGCAAGCCGCTGCCTTCCTGCGTTTACAAAATTTCAAAAATGCTTATGGTTTCATTGCAACAAATATTTAAAAAAGGCCATTTTTAGGGTTTTGGGGGGGTGTAACTTCTAGAGGGGGGGAGATAGGTAAAAATTTTGTTCTACGGAAATAAGTTTCTAGTGAAGATCTATGTATGTATTAAATTTCAGCTTTCTATCTTCAAAGGTGTAGAAGTTTTGTAAACAAAAAAAGTGTCCACGGACGGACGGACGGACGGACGGACGGACGGACGGACTGACGGACGGACGGACGGACGGACGGACGGACGGACGGACGGACGGACGGACGGACGGACGGACGGACGGACGGACGGACAGAGTGAAACTAATAAGCACTTTTTTCAAAAAATTTTTTGGAAAAGTGCTAAAAATATTATTGTACATTAAAGGCGCCCCCCCCCCTCACTTTTCTTATTTTACTTCAAAACAAAATAATAAAATCATATATAATTTTATGTAAGTATGTGAGAAAGAAAGAGAGCAAAAAAAAACCTTTATTTAGAAAAACAATTAATTAAATGTGGAATGTAATTAAATGTAACATAAAATAGAATAATTTTATTTAACAGACATTTCTAAGAAATTTTAATATAATTTATAAATTGTGAAGTTCTCTATTTTCTTCTTCTTTTTATTTCTTCTTTTCTCTTTCATTTTGTTGTATTTAAATGCATTATATTCATTGAGAATTTTTAAGAGATGATAGAGAAATTACATATTACATTACATTACAAGTACATAAATGTATGTATTGTAGGTAGCCAACATTTTCTCTATGCCAACAATCAACTATTATTATAGAAGGAAACAGAATGAATGCTATATTATGAAATTATTTTGCGTCATATACCTGTTCTATATTTTAAAATATATAAAGAAATGAAAATATTTTCATTCAAGGCAATTCTCTTTCCACTCTATCTCTCTCTCTCTATACCTTTATGTTTTTCAGCCTTTGTATATGAAACATTAAAATTGAATAGCCAAAATGCAATGAAACAAAAATTTTACATCCGTAGTAATAAATCAAAAGCTAATGATCGCTTAATTGAAAATATTCCTTATAGTTTAATAAAATAAATCAAACTATAAAAGGTCTGGGAAATTTCCTGCCTGAAAATTGAAATTTCAAAAATGTTTTCATATTCTCATATAATAATTTGTGCATACATGTGTGTATGTATACATTATAAAGGTATTTATGAAGAAAAAGGTAAAAAAAAAAAAGAAAATAATAAAAATTCATTTTTATATTATGTAAGTGATGTAACGTTTTTTCTCTTCTATATACGAAATAAAAAATTAAAAAAAAAAAAATAAAAATATTTTTTGCAGAGTAAAAGACGTTTTCCTTTTAATATTTCTATATGTCTGTACGTACGTTACATACGTACTTTTTTTACTCTATTACCAATTCTAGTTGGTCTTTAAAATGCAAAAAGAAAACAAAAAAAAATGAAAGGTGTTTGTCGGAATATTCCGACAAACTAATGCATTATTATGATACGTGTTATATAGAAGAATACAAACATAGAAATTCCTATATTAAAAAAAAATATAAAGAAAAAAAAAACTAGAAAATAGAATTTCCGAAAAAGATATTCCAAATAACTAAAATAATTTGCATTCTGATGTTAAGGGCGATAAAATTTAATATCTCTTTGCAAAAGGCCCGTATTGTTCATAATGGGTATTCATTTAATCGAGAATTATATTATTATATTATATACATATATGTATGTGTGTACATACATATGTAAGAAAAAGACATATAATATTAAAACCGTTTCATTCTTTCTATATTTGATCGGGTGTGATGTATTTTAGGTAGTTTGAAAATTTAAGCATGAATGCATCTATAGATTGCATTTTCAATTTAATATTATATAAGAGTACCTATACATACACATAGTTTTGTTTTAAAAATTACAATCCCATGTAGCATATTAAGTTTTAAATTTATGTTAGTCTATATACTTGTTACCTACCGCATTGTATACAATAAGGGAGATTATGTGATGACACCAAATTTTGGATGTCAAGTTTTCGGTGGGAACGCATTTCCCCGTGGTAGGGAAACGTAAATAAACTATTTTCAGAGAGATATCGATCTGCCGGCCTATCGGTTTGTGTGTGTACGTGTGAATTTCAAGTTCGATTTTCATGAAATTTTATTTGTGAATTCATTTTGGCTATAGCACGGGATGATCAACTTTCGGGATGTATCAGGCTTGGAGAACTGAAAATGTTTGCGATTTTACATTTTTGGGTATATAAAAAGAAAAAATCTGATGTGGTCAGCACATAACCGACCGCATTGTGTATTGTCTAGTTAAATGAAAGTGTTACAGAATATTATAAAAATGTCTGTTAAATACTTCTTTCCAATTTTTAGGACATTAGCAAGCTTATAATTAACATACTTAGAAAAATGTAAATTTGGCTCTTAGTAGAGTTTCGCTTTGTGCTACCCGAATTCCCTGAAATGCTCGCCAGTTAGTTTCGGTAACAACCAGAACTCAAATACCAAATTTCAAGAAATTCCATCAATTTGTTCTGTGGATATGGTAAAAAATGTAAAATCGGCCCGCAAATTAGTTCTCGAGCCCTGATATTTCCAAAAAAGTTATATGTTCATTGCTTTAATATGAGGAATTCATATATTAAATTTCAATGAAATCGGTTGATTATCTCCCTTTATATACACAAAAATGTATATTTGGCCCGTAGTAAACGTCTAGTTGCCGAGCCCTGATCTTTCCAAAAAATTTATATGTTCATTGTTTTATTACGAGGAGTTCATATATTAAATTTCAATGAAATCGGTTGATTATCTCCCTTTATATACACAAAAATGTATATTTGGCCCGTAGTAAACGTCTAGTTGCCGATGCCTGATTTCTTCCAAAACATACGAATTTTTGCGGACGGTCGAGCTGAGCTTATATATAAAATTTAAAGTAAATCGGTTGAATATTTTCTTCAAAATGATCAAAAATGTAAAACAGGCCCGCTAAAAAGTGCAGTTCCCCAGGCCTGATATATACCAAAAGTTGATCGATCCGTGCCATGGTGTAAAACAAACTTACATATTAAATTTCATCAAAATCGGTTCAGCCGAACTTGAGATACACGCGTGCACACACAGACCGACAGACGGACAGACCGACAGACCGACAGGTTGCTAAAAATAGTTTATTTACACTTCCCTACTATGGAGAAGTACGTTCCCACCGAAAACTCGATATGCAAAATTTGTTGCCATCACATAACCTACCTATTGTTTACACAATACGGTCGGTAAAAATCAAAAAATTTCTTTAATATTTAATATTAAAAATCAGAGCTGGAAAATTGAACTGTGTTCGATTTTACATTTTTTACCATATCTACAGAACGGATTGTTGGGATTGCTTGAAATTTTATATTTGAGATGTGATTGTTACCGGAACTAACTGATAAAAGGTTTTCCAGGGAATTCGGATAGCACAAGGCGAAATCCTATTAAGAGCAAAGTTTACACTTTTCTAGTTTTTTTAAATAAAAGCTTACTAACTTCCTTAAAATTGAAATTAAATTGTTTGTGAAGGAATTTTCATAATCTTCTGTAACAAGTTCACTAAGCTAGACCGGCATTGCGAACGGTTATATGTTGACCACATCAGGTTTTTTTCTTTTAAATTTCATTTTATAAAAAACACCTTCTTTATTGTGAAATTGATTGGTAAAATTGAAATTTACAATTTAATATTATTATACATCTACATTTTAAATGCTAGTTGGGTTGAAAAAAAATGAAAAAAGAAAGAAATTGAAAAATAAAGTGAAAAAGAAAATTTATATTAGAATTTTGCGAAAAGTGTATAGTAGAACATTTGCAACATTTCCGGAATTTCTTTTATTGCAAATTTCATTTATACATTCTTACATACATGCATACATATATATGCATGTATAGAATGATTGCAATTGTACATATTATATTGAACATGGAAATATGATACTTTTAAACAATGATAGAAATACATAATCTATATATATGTATAATGTATATATTTATACATATCTAGATATAATATAAGTGAATATAAGGAAAGCATACATCATTAATACGATAAGAGCTTGTTTTTTTTTTTTTTGTTTCTTTGATGTGCAATATACTGTAAGACCTTAATTAAATTGCAAACATCACTCGCACAATATAATATTCATATTATACCATATTATGTATATA